TTTTTTAGAGTAACCAGGGGAGAAAGAACAACGAATCGATAAAAATGCGTGTACGTGTGTGACAAGCAGGGGAGCGCGAACGCGATAACGAAGTTCTAAGAACGAAGGGAACAAATCGTGACGTAAATTCATCCTGACTCACAATATCATGCCCTGTGCTCCCTCCTCGTACCACTTCCGGTGCCATGTACTCGATAGTTCCGCAAAACGAGTAAGCACGGGCGTTGCTGTCCCTTTCGTGCGGCAGAAACTCCTTGCTCAGCCCGAAATCTGTTAACACGATATGACCCTCTCTGTCCAACAGAATGTTCTCTAGCTTAATGTCCCTGTAAATTATACCCAGCTGCAACAAGAAAGAAAAAAAAAAAAAGGCCAACGTTATTGTATAGTTTCATCGATAAGCGCGCGCGATAGGGACACACCGCATTTTCATAATTTAATTTTATCGTGTAAACGATAACGATACTCGCGATGGAATGCAGGACTGCAAATTTTGTTTCTAATTCAGCTGACAGGTAGATTTTGTTACGTGATAGGATTTGGTAGAAATCAGGATAAATGACTAACTTATTAGAAAAAGAAATTCTTTTTTTTTTTTATTAAATTTCCTAGAAACGACTGATCTGTTTCTAATAATCGAGATCAATTTAAATTTGAATAATTATTTGATCATAACAATTGATTTCATAATTATTAAATTCACGGGATCAGCATCATTGATGACCAATTGCTTTAATTGAGAAATAAGGATTAAATATTTCATCAATGAAATAAAATAAAATTTTTAATGACGGATAGACAGATTGTTAATGAAATAAATATTGGTATTAAAGTTCAAGTAATTTCAATTGTATGATTTTTTAACAAAGATAAATTTAAACGTTTATTTATTGTTAAATCTAAAATAAAATATAACGTTAACGAAGTAATTAATAATAATAAATAATATAATAAAATTGATGGAATGAAATTAAATTATCTGAATTTGAATCTTGAAATGTAATTACATTTCGTGTTGAGATTTTTAGAAACTCATTTAATTCTAGTTACATGAACAAATAGGGTAGAACTTGGGGCAAAGAAAAAGTAAATTTCTTAGAAATTTGTTAGAAACTCAATCCTTATGTGGCGTTTAATTCTCGAAATTTCGAATTTCATCCCGTCTTCAAAACAGGAAGGGAATTTCTAAATGTCCATCGAATATCGATCGTTTCAAACACAATGATAATTTCGAACGAACGAAACACGCTTCTAAACGTGTGCATACACGACGGAGAAGAACGACATTTACATTGTGTAGCTGCTCCAGCGCCAAAATAACCTCGCCAATATAGATTCGCACTTCGTCCTCAGTGAAATGGTCCCGTTGATACAGATGCGTAAACAACTCGCCACCGTTCACATAATCTGCAAAAAAAAGAAAACAAAGTTCAAGTTTGCTTCAATTCAAAAAATTGCAGGCAAGTAGATGCTTTGAAACGGAACGAAATGGTGAATGTCGAGGGCATTAAAAGGTCAGAAAAGAAAGAAAAACGATAGGAGAATGTAGTTGTTTCTGAAATCAGCGAAATGAATGACGATATCTTCCTCTGTTTATCGTCTCTCGCGGCGCTCGTCAACGAGATGATTACACTGCAAGACACGAAAGCACATTCATCGACGAGCAACTTGCTCTGCGTACGGATTTGAAATTCAATTCGCGTTCTCTCGTAGAGACTATTTTTGAAAATCGTTCGATCTATTTTTGAACATTTCGACAACTACCGACATCTTTTTCTTTTCTCTTTCCTTCGCCTTCAATTAACCACGTTGCGCTGGGCAACTGATTGCGGACCATAACGAGTGACCGAGCCGTACACGATAATTCGTCGCTTACTTTTTGAACTCGTCGGTATATCACTGGAAATAGAAATTATTAGTAATAAATTTAGAATAGATTAGTAATAAATTTATGATTTGCTTTGTCTGCGTTACATTTAAATATACTTAAAATTGGGAAAATGTTGCAATTTGGCAGGTTAACCAATTGCGCTGGCAACTGATTCGCGCGGACCGTAACGAGTGACCGAACCGTACACAATAATATCGTCGCTTACTTTTTGAACTCGTCGGTATATATCACCGAATAGAAATTATTAGTAATAAATTTTGAATAGATTAGTAATAAATTGATTGTTTTCTTTGCCTGCGTTACATTTAAATATACTTAAAACTGGGAAAATGTTGCAATTTGGGAGGTTAGCCTATTACGCTGGCAACTGATTCGCGCGGACCGTAACGAGTGACCGAGCCGTATACAATAATTCGTCGCTTTCTTTTTCATTTGAACTCGTCGGTATGATATCACTGGATAGAAAAGTAACTGATTGAAAAGTAACAAATTTGTTATTTGCTTTGCCTGGGTTTATACTTGAATATAATTAAAACTGAGAAAATGTTGCAATTTTGGGAGAAAATATTCTCGACGTCATTCCAGCGCAAGAGGTTAAGTAAGTAAAAATAGAAAACGAATTACAGAAGAAACATTTTGGGAAAGAGCGTCAGAATTCGAAGTTTTTGAAAATTTTAAATTTTAAAAAAGTTTGAAGTTAAGAATCTTCTGACTCTTGTCGATTTTAACTGCCGGTGATTCGATACGGCGATCAATTCACGTGCACAAAAATGACTCGTACGTTGGAATATCATCTACGGAGAATTGAGGAGAAAATGAAAGTGATTGCAAGCGTTGCACAGTGTTGCACGAACAGAACTCAACGATGATGATGTCACGATTATATCGTACTTCAAAAACCACCATGGTCCTTCCTTTCTTTAAGATGTAACGTAACACGGTCACATAATGCATATTACAGGGGATAAAAAAAACAACAATACCTTTCGTAGAGGAACAAGATCACTTTAGAACGCAGCGAGCGTGTTTCTGGAAACTTTTAAAATTTACGCGAAAGAAATTTGTTAATCTCGTCGGTAAACTAGGAATTTCCTACTTCCTCTTCGAAGCAAATATTTGTCGATGTATCGACACTGCCAATTCGCCCCCCATTTTTTTCTTCTTTTTTTTCCATTAAAAGTATATTTTACATTGAATTAAATTACGTACGCTAAAATGTATTATCTGCTCTGCAATTATCCAATATTCGCTGTTGTTCGTGGTTGTACGCTTGAAAGTTTCTTACTAACAAATTAGTCCTGCTAACTTGTGCAACTGATCAATATTTTCGTCAAACTGGAGAGATAAGCAATACAGAACATTTAATTAAAAACGTGCGAATAGTCGTAATATTCGCACGATCGTCAGTTTATATATAAATACGTATTTTCCCAGGATGTTTCTTCAATAATTTTGAGAATGGAACATTTTTTTTTTTCCTCTTTTACCTAAGATAAGATGCAGTTTTGCCTCCGTTTGAAAGGCGTAATGCAATGTAACTAAAAAAGGACTGTCTCGGACGGCCTCCAGAACTTGTCTCTCCGTCTTCGTGTGCTCAGTCGTTTTCTTCCTTTGCACGATCGACGCTTTCTTCAGGACTTTCATGGCGTAGAGGCGGCCAGCGTCGGCGCCCGTTTTCTTACGCACCAGGAACACTTTTCCGTAAGCTGAAACAGAAGATGCATTCAGTTTTTTCTCCCCCGATCTTTCGCACTGCAATTTAAACAAAAATAAGTCGTTTTGTCGTTTCGTTGCGATCCTAGGTTAATTATTTCTTTACTATCAAACAACAAATATATCGTTATATATCGTTATATTTATAAATATAATAAAATATAAATAAATATAATTATATAATAATATAATAATATATAAATATATATAATTATATAATAACATAATAAAATATATATTTTATATTATAATAAAACTACGAAATCAAATGCCGTCCAAATTGTTAATTGCGCTGGCAACTGATTGCGGACCGTAACGAGTGACCAAACCGTATAAAATAATTCGTCGCTTCCTTTTTATATCACTGGATAGAAATGATTAAGAAGTAATAAATGTATTATACTATTTTGCCTGGGCTATACTTAAATATACTTAAAACTGAGGAAATATTGCAATTTTGGGATAAAAAAATTCTCGACGTGCGTGGCTAAAGGAGGTTAAAATGTCGTATAATTGCCTGATAGATTTAAAATCGAACGAGAAATTTCACATTTCGAGTTTTCTTTGATATTATCTTTCTTCTTTATTTCTTTTTTTTTTTTTTTTTTTTTTAATTACAAAACGTGTTTTCGTTTTTCATTAGGTATATATATTATTAATGAAACGACGAATCTAAATTGTTAATCGAAATATCGAATAAGTAATTAATAGATGTAAAATCGAGCAGAAATTTCGCGTTTCGAGTTTTCTTTGATATTATCTGTCTTCTTTCTCTCTCTCTCTCTCTTCTTTTTAATTACAAAACGTATTTTCGTTTTTTCATTAGGTATATATATTATTAATGAGGCGACGAATCTAAATTGTTAATCGAATAAGTAATTAATAGGTGTAAAATCGAGCAGAAATTTCGCGTTTCGGGTTTCGTTCGATATCATCTTCTCTCTCTTTCTTCTCTTCTTTTTAAATTTGAACGGTTTGCATTGTTGCGAAGTTTCAATGGGACTTCATGTACTCTACGATTCTCCAATGCACGGGGTGTCGATAAACTGTTGACGCAAGAGAAAAAAACGAGACTGAATTCGAATCTTCAGATTGACGGGTGAGATTGGTCTATCGAGTGGTCAACGTTGATACATTTCTAATTTTTTTTCGCACAGAAGGGAATTTGTGAATAGTGAAAAAGGGAAGACAGAGAATAGTGAAGCTCCGGTTGAAATTTTTAGAAAAGTTTTATCCATGTTTCAGAAAGTTTCAGAAAAGTTTTGTCGAAAATTTTACATTAACCACGTTGCGCTGGCAACTGATTGCGGACCGTAACGAGTGACCAAACCGTACACAGTGAATTCACGGGATAGAAATTATTGAGAAGTAATAAATCTATTATTTGCTTTGCCTATTTTGTTTTACTTGAAACTAGAGAAAAATATTACAATTTTGAAATATTACAATTTGGAATCCAGCGCAAGAGGTTAAAATCTTGTATGTTGTAAAACTGAGCAGAGTTCAATGCTTGAAAAAAAAAAAAAAGAAAGAAAGAAAAATATCTATCTCGTTTGTACAATTCGAAAAATACTCAAATTCAATTCTTCCTAGATTCCATCTAGATTCCAAGTTACACGAAAAAAAAAGAGAGAAGAAAAATCGCGACGATTCGATTTCACGCGAGCCGATGGTATAATAAAATCAGTGCTCGATACGCGTGTGTTCATTGCGTATCGACGGGAGGATCCGCCCAATCGCGACGACACGGAGACGAGACGATCGCGTAATTAAAAATCAACCGGTTGGCGAGGATCGCGAAAAGCCAAAGGGAAAGGGACCGGTTGGTTGTCCGGCGCGAGCTTAATCGCTACACTATAAAGGATTTCATTCACGTACCTCCAGTTCCAAGGACTTTCAGCAGATCGAAGTGCGTCATGTCTACCCTCTGGCCTCCGATGTCAGCCAAGTTCACTGCAATCAAATCGAAAATGTTCGTGTTTTAATATTCATGCGTTTCGATCAATGTGACATAATCGTGACCACGTAGATTAAATCGATACGAAAAGGAAATAGAACGAAAAGTACGTGGATTGGGGATGAAGAGTGTAAGAATCGCGAAATATCGTGATATCTTTTGGATTTCTGGATTTGAGAAGACAAGGATAAATGGAAATCTGCATATTTAGAATTATGCGTTTTATAAATATATATAAATAATATAAATAGAGATTAAATATCTATAAAAATAATAATATATATAAAAAATAAATAGAGATTAAATATCTATAAAAATAATAATATATATAAATAATAAAGAGGATAAATATATATAAAAATATATATTATATAAATAATTATATATATATATTAAAATATATTATATATATATTAATTATATTAATTATATTATATATATATATATATAAGGTATATACTATAATAAATATATATATATATTAAAATATATATAAAAATACATATTATATATATAATTTTACTATATTAATAATTTTAATAATTAATAATTATATTAATCATTATTATTTTAATCGATGTGTATTCATTTTTATTTCGATCGACGGGAAAAAAAAAAAACGTGACAACGACGTCTGTTTTTTAATCGTGCCCTCGCCGATTCCAGAAAAATGGGCAGTTGCTTTCGTCGGTGGAGGAGGTGGGAGGACTCGATTATCGAAATACTGTTAACTGGACTTTCTATTTGAATGCCTCCGGAATCGGACTTTCGATCGTCTGAACTTTCGTTTGACGTTACTTTCGAATAATCGACGATCGATTGATAGTCCCAGATATATCGATTAATACCCAAGCGAGTTCTCTCGCCTTTAATTCGAGCGCGACAAAAGCAATAATCCTGATCACGTAGATATTCCGTGCGAAAGATAAGACTATTTTTATAATATAGTGATAGGTAATTGTATATAGTGATATGGCGATATAGTGATAGGTAATTGTATAGTTCTACAATCTCTCTCTGAAGCACGAGACAATTAGAAATTAAGCCTCTCCTTCGGTCCAAGTTGCATTAATTTTTTACGTAAATTCTACGTAATTCTAGTTTCGATCTAACGTTCTAGAATGGTACTGCCTCGAGTAAATGATTCCTTAAACAATCATTGTAGATTGTTACAATATAGCAATACATGTCTTAAATCTCTCTGAAACGTGTGATAATAAATAAAATTAAGTCTCTCCTTAGGTATCTAAATTACATTAATTTTTACACAAATTCTACATAGTTTTAAAATGGTACTTTCTCAAATAAATGGTTCCTTAAATAACGATTGTAGATGAAACTATTGTTACAATATAGTGACACATTTCTTAAATCTCTCTGAACATAATAATTAAAAATTAAGTCTCTCCTTAGGTATCTAAATTATATTAATTTTTACACAAATTCTACATAGTTTTAAAATGGTACTTTCTCGAATAAATGGTTCCTTAAATAACCATTATAGGCGAAACTATACTATTGTTACAATATAGTGACACATGTCTCAAATCTCTCTGAACGTGATAATTAAAAATTCTCTCCTTAGGTCTAAATTACATTAATTTTTACACTAAATTCTACATAGTTTCAATTTAACGTTTTAAAATGATAAAATTAATTTCCTCAAGTAAATAGTTCCTGAAACAACCATTATAGATAAGACTATTTTTATAATATAGTAATATATTTCCTACAATCCTTTTGAACATGATATTAAAAATTAAGTCTCTCCTTAGGTCTAAGTCACAATAATTTTTATACAAATTCTACATAGTTCCAATCCAACATTCTAAAATGGTATTTTCTCAAATAAATGGTTCCTTGTAAATAACCATTACAGATAACACTATTTTTATGATACACGTCCTACAATCTCTCTGAATGCGCGATAATTAAAAATTAATCGTCTCTAAATTCTACACAATCTCAATTCAACGTTCTAAAATGGTACTTTCTATCGAGTAAATTGTTCCTTAAATAACCACGAAGCAACGATAATGTTCAGATTCCGAACACTTTATCAAAGCTTAATTAAAGCAACATTTCCATGACCTTATCTCCGGCCAATGAGATTCCCCCGATTGCTTAATTCTAGAAAATATTTTGTTTCGTTCGAGAGGCGATCTCGATTTCCATCTAGAAGAGACACGAAGTTTTTAAAGAAATTTTAACGATTTGAATTTGATGTCCTGGTAGAACAAATAGTTCTGGGAACAGTTAAATTATACAATTACAATGATCTCAAGATGAGACGTGCAACTATAAATTAATTACAAGATTTTCAAGACTGAGAAAGAAAAAAAAAAAAAAAAAACAAAAAGTCGTGTTTCATCGATTTGCACGGTAGAAAATGCGAATTAGTCGAAGCAGAAAGAAGTTAATTGTCAGTGAAACCAGCACCTTTCCAAGTCATTGAAATTAGTATTTTTTTTATCGTTCTGTGTGTTAGTATTTTATCTAGTCTCTGAGAGTCATTACGATGTTCATTACGAGATTGGAGATCAGACCTCAACAGAGATTCGTCAATTTTTGTTCGTCTCTTCGAGGAAACATTTTTTTCTCTCTTTCCCCGAAAATCAACAAACTTTAATAATTAATATACTCATTGCATACGCAAGATATTAATTTATACAACGACTTGCAAACAGAGAAGAACGAGAGAACAAAATTAAATAGCTAAGCGTTCGATCATTTTCGTGACCACGTCACAGGATGTATGCATGCAGTTTCACGACTGTTCGAGATGAACGGCAAGAAAAATTTTTACGCAAATATTCAGAATACCAGCTCGAGTTGGACTCTGCTCTATTCGAGGCGCAACGATTGAAACGAAGGTGGAATGCAAATTAGCAAGATACGTTCAAGGCGCGATTCGGCGATATCCGAGCGGAATAATATCATAACAGTTTTCGAATTAATCGCGAATTAATAAGCCGCTGAGGCGGAGTAGGCTTTTTATATACTTTCGAAAGAGAATTAAAATTCCAAGAGACAATGATTTCGCGATTTATGGATATTCCAGAATGGCGTCCCGACACTGATCGTCGATTTCGAAAAAGCCAGACAAGGTCGGCGAAGGTGATTGCAAAATGACGCTCGCACGAGTTCCCGACTTCGATTATCGAATCAACCCGGCTACGTGCGATCTCGACCTTGCGCGCGAAACGAGGAAAAGACGAGCGAAAAGACAGGCGGAACGACGATTCGAAAATTCTCTCTGCCTAGAGAGCTGCCTAAATTCTTTTCATCCATCTGTCGTGAAAACAGTGCACTGGTAAATGTCCAAAAATTACAAGTTTGCCTTTTTTCAATCACTCTGACAGTTTCGCCGCAGTCTCCTCTAAACATCATAAACGTGTTAACGTGAATTTCCAATTACCTACTACGGGGACAATAATTAATTTAGCTGCGGTGCATTTTAAAAGTGTGCATTACCACACTGTGACGCTAGAACGACGCTAGTTTGACGATTGTACTCGTCGAACAACAGAGTACGTGCAGCTGCTGTGAAATTGAATTAAATTACAAGGAAATGACACTAGTTTGT